CACGAAGGTATCGGTTACTTGTATGTTGTAACTGTAAGTAGCTGATAACTTCGTGTCAGTTTAAGCTTCGTGTCGGGGAACCCGAACTTTGAACTTTGAACTCTGCCTTAAACTTCGGGTTAGCTGACACGAAGTTATCAATTACTTACAGTTCCGTAATACAGTCAAGACTTACAGTTCTTGTAACTGGGACACTCACCTAGTACGCATGTGTATTAGAGGGTACTGAACCACAAGGATGGGAGCACCAAACTCTCTCTATAAATATAAAAGAAATGTGGTGCTGGTGGCGGGGAGGTGGCGTTGTTTCACATTGATTTTTGCCTTCCTTCCAAGGTTGACAATTTTCCAGTGGTACTCGTCGGGAATGTGTAAAAGAGTCTTGCAAGCATGGTTTTAATTTATTTTGTAATATTACAACTAACAAAAAACCAAAAGAAGATTAATATTCAGTACATATCTTTCGTGTACAATAAACAACAGTGTACTCGTTATAAGAATTAAAGCTAAGTCCGTAACTCTGCGTCTTATTATCTCCGCTGTATTCTGAAGATGTTGTGATAATAATAAAACCTTCATTTACGAACCTTGTGTTATTTTCCTCTGAGAGCTACGCCCTTCTTGAGTTACCGCTATATTAACAATATGTGCAACTAGATTATGGACTAATGCCTCGCGACAGAGTTATATTACAAAACCTTTGAGAAAAATAAAACGACTACATACCGCCACAGCACGGCACTGTTTTCCTTCGACAACTACAAAGTTTAGGATTAATTAATAGACTTCCAGAGAATTTTAAAGTCCTTTCAAGATAACTGCCACGAAATAAACTTATAAACTTCCATTCGACGATTTACTCAAAAAATAAGTAAGAAATATTTAAGGATATTAACCTAGCGGCGCTGTATGTGAACAACAACAGCAACAAGGAAATTAGAATGATTACAGATTAACAAATTAACGTCAGTTTTTCATACGTCTGTCCTGTAATTGATCATGAATTTTGTCATAACATTGTGGAAGTAGATGTGGATCCACGAGGCGATGCTCTGGCAATGTTATGACGAAATTGAGAATTTAAAATCATTATAACGAGAAATGATATAGTTTGAGTACTGACAGGAGTTACCTCAGAAACACATGACATATGGCGCATCTACAGATTTGAATAGTCCAGTTCTGGTCATACCTCTGTCACGCAATGCTATGCTCTAGGAAGATAGGGTCCCTCTCTCCCGATAACGTAGTGTTGTGTGACAGAGACAGAGTAGATTTAAAATGTTATCAGTCGAAGACTTTCCCAATCCTTTAACCACCCTTATTCCTGCTATGGTAATTGTAAACTTCGTTTTT